CTTTTTTAAAAGTGGGTGAATGACAGCACTTTTACAGTAACCAGGGACCTGACCAGAGAGTAGAGATGCATTAATAATTTTAAGAACACTAGGACCAATAGACTCAAAAACATTTTTAAACAAAGACCCAGATAAAATATAAAGGGGGCAAGAGGATGATCTAATTGAAGTAACCAGCGTCAACAACTCAGGTAAAAACACCGGTGAAAATCTTTCAAATCTGACAGGCTTAAGAACAGGCAAATGGTACATGGAGGGAGAGATGTTGCTCCTTACATTGCTAACCTTTTCAACAAAGAAGGAAAGAAAATTTTCGCAGTCTTCATTCGAAGAAATTGGGACAGCAGCAGAAGCCGGAGCAACAATATCCCTAATAGTGTCAAATAAAACCTTAGGGTTACCTCTGCTCCTAGAGACTAGGTTTGAAAAAAAAAAAAGCAGCCCTTGCATCACGAATTGAAGCGTTAAAGGAAACTAAAAGGTCTTTTAAATTAAAGAGATGAACCTGTAAACGAGTCTTTCTCCACAAACGCTCAGCTTTACGACAGACACGCTTTAAACAGCGAATGCTGTCGTTTATCCAGGGCGAGGGTTTTGCAACAGGGGCTAGTCTAGTTTTAATAGGACAAATATTATCGATAATAGAAAGACAGTAATTATTAAAACGATTTGTTAATAAATCAACATCATTAGAAGCAGGCAGAACCAAATTAAAAACGTCAGAAAAACTCACTTTTTCTTGAAGACATCTTTGGCCTTCAGCAGGTCTCCACCACAGACCGTAAGGCTGTTTTGACCTACTTTACCCACTGCAGAAACAAATGAGAAAAATCAACAAAATGCACAAAGGTGGTACAATTTCTGCAAAATGACAAATATTTTCAAACAAAAACTGTCAGTTGACATTGAACATACCCCTGCCCCATCTCATCCACACACTGTAAACCTTGGAGCTGTCGTCCTCCAGCAGCTGGATCAGGTAATATTTGTTGTTGTTAAACTGAAGATTTGTCTACAAATTGAAACAAATGATGTTTACTGCAGGCTAAAAATTGGAAACTAAAGCTAAAAAACTGAATTTGTGAGTTTTAAAGTTTTCACTTTTTCATTATTACCTATAAAGTACTACCTATACTGCTCCAGGACGAAATAATAATAAATGTTATTAAAATAGATCTATCATGCTATCGCATATTTACTGAACAATGAGGTCAGCGTGTGCACAAATAATCCCTGTGAGCCAAAACCTCAGGGTTCAGTCTGCTCCAAACAGTCAGTTTCTGGCAGGTTTTTCAGCTCTTGACTTTAGATGATGTCGTAGACAGGGATATTCCCTAGTATGACCATCTAAGGAAGCGGTCCCCAACCTTTTTTGCGCCACGGACCGGTTTATGCCCGACAATATTTTCACGGACCGGCCTTTAAGGTGTCGCGGATAAATACAACAAAATAAAACCAGTACCGGTACCGAAAAAAAGAAGATTTATTCATAACACACATGAAAAGACCCAGGAAAACCGAGTTAACGATAAAAACGATAACAAAATAACGCTGAAAACCGATAAAACCCTGAAAACTATACATTTCACACCTGAGCCTCAACTCTCGCGGCCCGGTACCAAACGACTCACGGACCGGTACCGGTCCGAGGCCCGGGGGTTGGGGACCGCTGATCTAAGGCACACAGCCCTAAAAAAACTATAAAGATGGAACTGAGCATAATTTATTTCCTTTTAATTGTGTTACCTGGTTGAGCATCACGTCGTAAACATCATTTCCTTCATTGTAAACATGAGCCTGAAATAGAAATATAAAAATGAGTTATACAAATCAAAATAATCCCACCATGTCTGCATTCAGGAAATATAAATATTTGTATATAAAATAATTACTTTTTTGTGTTTAAAAAGAACAGATTTGCAATTATGTTAAAAAATAATTTAAACAGAACCAATTACCACGTCTTATATTTTCATGTAACAGTCATATGTAAATCTACTGACAATTAGGTAAGATGAATTTAATTATCTTCTAATTGTAACAATACTTCTCAGATTTATTGCTTATCTGTTTAGTGTGTGGAAAAATGCAATCATATATAAGGTATTCAGTTGAAAACAACCATTTAGAAAATTTAAGCTTCACTGAAAGATTTATTTGTGTTTAACCAGACACTGATCAGAATAGTTTGTCACAAGAGGAACTGTAACTGGGGGAAAGCTTTGCCTTATAGCACCCAGGTGTCAAACCACAAGCATGACTGACATGACAAATCGTGAGATTTATATATCGTGTGGATGCAGACACTGTACCTTTCCCAGTTTGGCTTTACATTCAGAGTCTACTGGTGCTTTTCCCTTCATGACCACTGTCTTCACAACTTCTGTTCAGAACAGATCAAACACAAAAGACTAGTGAGGTGAAGAAACATCTACAGTTCAGATGCAATTCCATGCTCACCTGATCCTTAAAAGCTTTAAAAGTTACTGTGCTTTGATAATGACTAATATTGTCATGGCTGTAAAATGTTGTAAGTATATACAGAAATTAGATCCATGTTACCTTCACTTTTTACTTCTTCTTTGGCTTTTTTGGGCATTTCTTCAGTTTTTGTCTGGCTCTTGCTTTGTCCTCTTCTCTTCTTAGCTGCAGGCTGCTCTTCTGTGTCCTCCTCTTCCTCTTTAACTTGAGCTGGTTTCGCATTATGAGTAGCAACGTCACCAGCTTCATTCGGACTTTCTTAATAAAACAGGAGAAAAGAGGAAAGACTGTGAGTACCTCCAAGAATTCAGATTTTTCAATTAAATTTAAACTGAAATAAACTATATAAATTTCATGAAATTATGTTTTAGATACCATTTCTACAAAAGACATTTATTTAAAAATGAACTAAACTGCAGTTAAGAAAATATTAAGCAACACAATTTAAAAATGAGGATTTATGAAAACAGAACACAGGGAGCAGGGAGGATGACAGAAAATTCACAACAAAAAACACACCAGCTTTTACAGTCTGACAGCGAACTTTCCGTTTGTACTTTGTGACAGGATTGATCTGAACCATCTTCTTCAGATCAACTTCATAGGCTGTCCCCGAGCCCAGAGAGAGAGTGACAGATGTTTTCCCCGAAGAGACGGCCGAGTCCAAGGCGGCACAGGCTGATGGAGAGTATGGTTCCCACTGTCTATTATCCCCCATCCACTGCCACACTGATTAGAAATACACACAGAAGAAAATCTAACTCTTACACAGTGGCCTTTTAGAGATCAGAAACAAGTCTTTAAGTTATTAAAACTCTGTGTGTGTAATACCTGACAAATACCAATTGTATTTAAAAAAAAAAAAAAAAAAAGGTATTAATGCTGCTGTTGTTTAAAAAAATGAAAGAAAAAAAAGTCTGGATAAACAGCAAAATAGTAAAAATAAAGGTGGAAGGTGCAGATAGCTATCAAACATTTTAGGTTAATTTTAACAGAAGCAATACAAAGAGTGGCTGCAAAAAAAAAAATCAGCCTTACTTTTAAAGGGAGCCCATTACACTCGAATTCTCCCCTTAGTTCAGCAAATGCATCAGAACAAACTGTTTTTTCTCGCCTTCATTTCAGTGCAAACTTCCTTTATTCCAAGTTTGTTCTGATTGGCTACTCTAGGCAAACAGACGGTTTAAAAAGTAGCATGATCATGTTTGAGCTAACCCTCTCACTGACATCATCTGGAACAAAAATTTGAGGGAAAATTTCACAAACTAAATGTTTACAGTAATTTAAAGCATAATCATTTCTACACACATTGGCATCATTATTTTAAAATTAAAGTGGTCATATTTAACATAAACATGCCAGAATGTTAGCAGTATATATTAGACAGAAAGCAGGTCACATTAGAAAAGGCCCCTTCGCTTTTGGTATGCAATAAATGTAGCTCACAACAAATAAATACTTTTTTTTGCTGGTTGTTTTAACCGCTCACTTAGGAACTTATTTTACCTGAAATTTTAGAAGCGCAACCGGATTTATCAGCAAACCGAGCTACAAAAATTGTTTCGTTTGTTTTTTAAGCTGACAATTTTTTATTATTATTTCACACAGACAGTACCGGTGTCTGAATTATGAGTGAAGCTTCATATTTTTGATCTTCATGCTGTCTCCTGTCCGAACATGTCCACAGTTCAATGGCGTAGTTACCCTGCAGCAGCTACAATATTATGCTAATACGACACACAGACCTGTTTTTGACTGGGCTTCTCCATTTTCTGGCGCAATCTCACATTTATTTCTGGAACTTCTCGCTCGACTCATGGTGGGTTATTAAAAATAATTATCTGGCTGCTGTTAAAGGGGAACCTCAGCGATAACACTAAAACACGGCGGGAAACTTTTCCCCAACGTACTACTGTTTCCTGACCGGCAGCCGCACGGCAAACGATTGTTTCATGTGAAGATGAATCACTCCGCCGTGAAAACTGAAGCCATTGTTGTTTCCGGCGCGAACGCGGTTAATATGACAGCGATTTATATTAAACGCAGTTCAAAGTTTAAAATACATTTAGGTTTATACTTGTTTTAATTTAGTCCCAACTTTGTCTATACTGTGGCCGAGAGGTAAACTTGATGTCGCAGATGCTGGACAGTAGGCGGAGTAGCACTCTTCGTTGTTCTCCTGAGGTGGGAACAGAGATTAGGGGCGAAAGTGTTCCGCCTTAGGTAGTGGTCGGAATTATTTTGTTGAAGGATTAGTGGGATTCTAACGTGACACTTTAGGAGGGCTGGATGAAAGTTGAATTTTAAGCCATTTAAACGTAACGTTTAGAAGCAGATGTTATGGTACCACGTAGATTTAGCGCCTGTGTTCTCTGTCAGAGAACACCTCTGTGGATGCTGGTGTGCCGAGTGAGTACGGATTGATATTACCACTGAAGGCAGCTTTTTAATCGCAGAGGTCAGACACATAAGCTATAGAGAACAAAATAGTTTCAGTCTGTACATTTACATTTGATTTTTTTAGGCATAATATACACCATTTAGTCGTGAATCTACTCTACCTGTCCCCCAGATGTCAGGGCTACCAGCTCTCGCTGGTGTAAAACATGATTTCTACGTTCATTCAAACACTGCCCAAACACATCTCTGAATACAACACTGATGGGATTTTCTGGGGTTATTATAAGCTCAGCATAAAAAATCTCTTGGTTATGTCTTTCTGACTGGAGCCAGTAAGGCTGCTGTCTGGTTCCCAGTTACCTTGGACTCAAACATTTCATTAAATAAACTAAAACTGCACTTACTGGCCACTTCATTATTTACACCTTGCTAGCACTGGATTGGCCATCCTTTTGCCTTCAGAATACTGTGATCATAAGTAGGTGGACATGGTCAGCAACAATACTCGAGTATATTGTTACACAAACAACCACGTCACGTGACATAAATTACTTTTCATCCAAATTTTGATGCTTGGTTTGAATTTCCTTAGGTCTTCTTGTCCATGTTTGCATGCCTAAATGCGTTAAGTCGCTGCTATGTGATTAGCTGATGAAATATCTACGTTAACAAGCACTCAAACAGTACATGTGCCTAATGTAGTGGCCACTGGATCTTTTGAAAAAATGAAACAGATTTTGTTTGGTTTCTTTGTTTTTTTTTTCTAAAATCTGGCTGTAATTGGATTTCTTGTTTTTTATTTTCCTCATATAATCATATTTCAGTTTAATTCAAAGGTCAGTAAAACAGCATCATTTAAACCTGTTATTTCAGGCAATGAGTGCAGCTACACACCCACAGCCACAGGTAGATTTCCTAAAGGGTGAACCACACAGAAAACACCCAGGTGTGACCAACTTGAAAACTCTACGGCTACCTGAGGAACTCCACGTGGCTGCACAGTCGATTATTCACAGTAAGCTTAGTGTTGGTAAATCAGTTAATATAACAGAACTTTCTGACCAGCTTCATTGGTTGAAACCCTTTGCCTCTCATCCATCTCTGCATCTGTAGGAGCTCAGGTGAATCAGCTTCCCGAGCACATTCACAAACTCACGAACTTCCTGTGGAGCAGGAAACGAGCGGTCGAGGATTTAACTCTGAGGCAGAAAGCTGTGAGCCTGGAGAAAGAACTGTGGGAGAAAGCCATGCAAAAGGGAGGAGGTGGGTGACATATGTATAATTTTTTTAAAGTAATAATACACATGCAACAAGATCATATCATGCAGCAGCTAGAAAAAATAAATATACATTCTGCAGATATAGACGAGCAAGCAATGGAAGACCGCATCAGGAGGAAAGTTCTCTCAGAGCTCCGAAGAACGACATATCACTGGGCACCCACGAAGTAACATGTCATTTAACTACAGTGTTATCCATTATCAGTTTTTCACGTTTCAGTCTGTTCTGAATGCCTCTTTGTTATATTTACTCATTCCTAAAGGAGAAAAAGCCTCTTTTACCCATAATAGGAGAAGCTAAAACTGTGATTTATGACAAATGCTGAACATTTTATACCTTTAACAGACTTAAGATGCTTTCTTTAGATAAACCCAGTGAATGGTTGCGCTCCACCATGATCCATCCTGAAGTTGTAGTTTTGGTCCTTAAGTTTGACGTGCAGTAGATTTACAAGCATCTCACTGTGTTTCAGGTACGATGAAGAGCTCGGCGTGGTCTACATGGCAGCTCGACTTGCTGGCGGTTACGCTGCAGTGAGGAGAGCTCTGAATGAGGTAGCAAAGTGTTGTGGAGGTGACCGGCTTACGTGGTGATACAGGGAGCTTCCTTTTTAAGAATCGCTTGAATCCAAGCACAAGTTGTTTTTTGTGGTTAAACTCAGTTATACCTGCAGTTTTTTCCCCCTCATCATTTAGATAAAGAAGAAGGATCCCTCCTTTGCTCCTCACACTCTCCTGGATTTTGGTTCTGGGTTAGGAACAGTTGTCTGGTTAGTGTGCAACACTAGTAAAACATGTAAATGCTTTAGTCTGAATAGCTAAGCTAAGTTTATAAAATGGCCGTTTCCTCAGGGCATCTCACGCATGCTGGGGTGACTCTTTGAAGGAGATGGTGTGTGTGGACAGCTCAGGGCCAATGAACATTTTGGCAGAACGACTTCTGAAAGGTAGACACACATTTAGACAATTTATTTTCGTTTCTTTATGTGAAATACAGATGTTAATAAGAACTGACTGGATTGTATTATTATTATTATTTTTTGAATTGAGCAGGTGACGACGAAAGAGCTGAACCCTGCATCAAACAAGTGTATTTCAGGCAGTTTCTCCCTGTCTCTCCTAAGGTAAAACTCCCTCAGCTTTTATTTAAGTCACAATGTGTTCACTGTCAAGAGTTTAAACAATTCAGTGTGTTATTAAAAATGTATATGCAATATTCTAGACTTCAATTCTGGGTTATACATGGATTTTTAAAATATTTTTAGTCGTTGTTCTAGAAAAGAACACAAACGGACAAAATCAAAAAATAAAGAAAATCCCAATATTTTTGATTTGCTGTCATTAATGTTCCAGATAATCTCAACAACTGGAAATCCTGACCATCCTTTTTCTCCTTTCAGGTGCAGTTTGATTTAGTCACTGCAGCTTTTACCCTCTCAGAGCTGCCAAATGTGAAAGACCGAGAGGAGGCAGCATTCACTCTTTGGAGAAAGACAAGCTCATATCTGGTGAGATCAAATAAAGATACAACTTAAGAAAATGATTGGTGAGCCTCTGGTGTTTAAAAGGAAACAGAAAAAAAAACAACTATTACTCGTTGCATTTTATGTTCTAGGTGCTGGTGGAAAATGGGACCAAAGATGGCCATCAGATACTCATGGAAGCCAGAGATACTTTATTGAAGGTATTTAAAGACACTAGATAAGACAGCAGTTCACAATAGTTGTTATTGATCAAACTAAATTGTTGGTTTTCTGACTCCAGAAACAAGAGAAGACCGTTTATGACTCCAGGCCAGCATCAGTGTTTGCTCCAGTAAGTTTAACACCCAGTAGATTTAATTAAAGTCATACTTAGAGCCATTAGTGTCTCAGTCTTATTGCGTGTCTATTTATTTATTTATTTATTTATTTATTTTAGTGTTCGCATGAACTGGTGTGTCCCAAACTGGCCCATGAGCCCGTCACACCCTGCAACTTCCAGCAGCATTACCAACCTCTGTCTCTACCCAGGGTAAGACTCAACTGTCTATGTCTGTTTACAGATTTTCACTTTAAATGGGATCTAATCTGTTAATTACCAGGTCTCTTTCTTTTTATTCTTGGACTCCACCAGAGCAGCACTGCATGAATTTTAAATTATCCTTATTGTCCTAAGACAACACTAGTAAATTAGTGCTTGAGTAGTACCAGCTAATATAGTCAGGCTCACCTCAACGCACAGCTGGTGCTCTGCAACAGGTCTCCTGGAGAGGGGCTGGACTCTTAGTCTAGAGTTGCCCTCAGAGAAAGATGGCAAGCAGTGGTAGGTATACAGTTATGGTCACAAACTCTAAGTAGTGACAAAAAGATCACAGATAGAAGCAGTAGAAATCAACTACCTCCGCAGGGTGGCTCACTGTTGTCATGTGGGAGTCCTTTCTGAGGGCTTCAGAGTACATCCGCAACTCGAAAGGAGCCAGCTGAGGTTTTTTGAGGATCTGACTAGGATATGACCTGGACACCTCCTTGGTGAGGCATTTTGAGCATATTCTACTTAGAGAATCTCTGGGACAGACCCACGAGATTATGCCTCAGCTGCTTTGGGAACACCTCGGATGAGCCGGAAGGGTAACGGGAGGAGAGGAAGTTCTGAGGCTTTTCTTCCTGCAAATCAAGCAACAGACCAAATAAGACTAAAACATTTTAGTGTAATCTGCAAAAACAACATATAGTCTTCTGTACCAGGCTCTGCTATTAAAATCAGCTGCACTTTATTCCCTTCTGTGAAAAGAAGCTGAAGTTTCGTATTATTGTATATTATCAGGAAACTCATATTTATTTAATAGCATGTAAAACATAAAAGACACAAAGTCTTGCGCCAAGATTTTATTTTGGATTGAATTCGTTATTTTTAACTTCATGACTTTTTCTTCTTGTTGCCTTTTAAGTATTATTAATTTACACTTTACACAGAAAGTGCTATATATGCAAACATGTTTTGTTTTTTGTTTTTTCAGATAAATGCTGAATGAATTCCATATCAACCCTTTTTTTTTCTTTTCCAGCACAATGACCGTCAGATCGAGAAGTTCAGCTACCTAATTTTGAGGCGGACAGAAGCAGTGGAGGAAGGCACAAAGGGTGTGGAGTGGGCCAGGCTGATTGCACCAGTGCTGCGCAGAACGAGGCATGTCCACTGTCACGCGTGTTGCCCGGACGGACAGCTACAGCACATGGTGGTGACAGCCCGTAAACACGGCAGGTAAAAAGAAAAATCAATGTCACACAAATTCATCAGCTGCAGAATAGGTTTAGTCCTTTTCCTTAAATGCTAGCATAGAGCAGGGGTGGGCAACTCCAGGCCTCAAGGGCCGATGTCCTGCAGGTTTTAGATATCACCTTGGGTCAACACACCTGAACCAAATGATTAGTTCATTACCAGCCCTGTGGAGATCTTTAAGACATGTTGAGGAGTCATTTAGCCATTTAAATCAGCTGTGTGGGCTCAAGGATACCTGCAGCACACTGGCCCTTGAGGCCTGGAGTTGCCCACCTCTGACATAGAGAGATGAAGACAAAATGCACACTGTAGGAGAGAGAAGACAAAAGGTACTGACATTCAGTAGTGACAGGTGAGTGCATTGGGAGGGAAAAGAAGAGAGTGAAGAAGAACTGCTCAGTGCATCATGGGAAGTCCCCCAGCAGTCTGACTAAAGGATTCTTCAGGGTCATCAAATTCTGCTCAGGTTTCATCAAAAAGAAACGTTTGAAGTCTAATTTTATAATCGAGAGGATATCAGTCCTGAATCCAGAGATATTAAGACTCTAGGTCAGATCGGATACCATAGGATTTTTAAGATATGATGTTAGGGACCAGGTGCATTAAAATAAACTAAGAAGAAATATGTCATTAAAATGCTTATTAGGGCTGCGTACTGTTTGAATTTGATTCAGTGTGGGGCCACGCAGTTCATCAACAATGTTTTCTAAAATTAACAAAACTCCTCGGGTGTTTAAAGATTTCCTAGACACAGGTAGGCACGCAGGAAAGATGCGGGAAATACAGAAAGAGAGAATAAGGGAAGGAATACAGCAAAAGATCTGGCTTGCCTGGACTTCAAACTGGGGAATCGCTGATTCTGAATTATGTGATCAGAAAATGTGTCAGAACTAGACCAAATGGAGCAGAAATTCATTGTAAACCTTCTGTATGTCATAATAATCAGTACTCTGTGCTACAGGCAGCCTTTGGTTGCTGGATATTCTTATTTCTTTTTGTTGTATGAGTTTTATTGTCACTGATGGATCATTTAAATAAGATTTATGGCACATACACCAGATGTATCAGGGCTAACTAACCACAACTGCACACCACTGACACCATCACCTGCGTGGCTTTGAATGATTCAATTGTGCCGCCTCCTATAAACATGCAGGTCATACGGACTATGCTTCTAAATTGTCTTTCTTTGTAAGTATGGTGATCCTGACTGTTTTGTTTTGTATTGGGGTTTTTTTCTGTTTAATTGTTCTATTTCAATGTCATTTTAATCAGAGATATGTACCGCTGCGCTCGGAGCAGTGACTGGGGAGATCAAATGCCGATCATTCAGGGTGTAGAGGAAGACGTCAACAGTGATTCAGAGTGACGATTCAGCCGTAAAGACAGACTCTGTGGAAACATACGATACATCGTGAAACTGATAATACTTTGATTTATAGACAAAGGAGCTGCAAATTACATACACATTTCCTCTCTGCAGTTTTCTTTATTGTGTACCACCTCCAATAAACCATTATATTTTTAAAAGTGATGCTCTTCGGACTGAAATGTGTCTTTTAAAAAGTATTTTGAAATTGAATTTACCTTGAGAAGCATTTCACTTTAAAGGCGGTCCAAACAAAACTTAAAGTTGTTTATTCACCAGAACAATACATAACATGAGCTTTATGTGGGGTTTTTTTTTGGTAACATAACATTTCACAGCCTTAAAATAAAAAGGGTAAAATTTCTTTTTGCACATGTTTCAGTGTTGCAGGTTAATTCAGTGACACTGTGAGACTCAAAGTGAGATTTCAGCAACATTTTTAATTTACTGCAGGCCACAAAAAAGATCCAGTAAACTTGATTATTAACCTAGACTTATGTAAACGACTATTTATAAAAACAAACAAACAAAAAAGACTCCAGGCTATGACATATAGCTCCAATAATTGTTTCGGTGCTTCACCATCTGTAATGTGGTCATGAAAACAGCTGGATGTCATGTCTGCCATAAACGAGCTAGACTTTCTTCTTTGTTGGAGTCATAAACAAGCACTTCAGACGACAAGACCAGTTTAACTAAAGATTCAGGGGATTATTATTTACACTTAAGGGACTTTATCTGAATCTCAACCATTAGAGTCACTAAATACTTTAAAAAGCGTGTTTTTGGAGTGGACGGCAGCTGAAGTACCAAAGAAAAGCACACAGGCACAAGGAAGAAAGGCAACGTCCACACGGAAAGACCCAAGCTAGGGTTCAAACCAGGAACTTTCTTGACACGTGGCAATATTCAAGGTTCTTTATCTGTCACATGCATAGTTATACAAGTATAACACACAGTGAAATGTAACCTGACACGCTCCTCGACATGTGCAGGGGGGGAGGGGGGTAGAGGAAGAACATTAAATATATAGTATATACATTAGGTGAATATGCAGTAGTAGCAGCGAGCAGGTGAATTCTGTACATTAAGTGAATTAAGTAAGAATAGACAATCTGACTATTTTACAGAATAGACAATATAAACATATTTAAAATTAAAGGAATTTGGAATGTACATTCAGTGCCTGCGTTTAGAGTGTCTGGAAGAGAGTCCTGTCTCAGTCAATTATAGATGATGTGAGAGGGCGGGTGTGTGTTTAGGGCCCGGATGGCTTGG